TTAAAAATGTTACACTAGGTATTCTACATAAAGGTCTCATTCCATTTTTTAGCTTTTTCACTGTGGTAGGAAGCTGTGATTATTAAATAATACTTGCCCAAGAATTTAGAACAGAATAGAAATCATTTTATCATCTCCAGATTCTCACCTTGGCATTTATATTGGTTCACTGGAAAGTCTCCAGTGTTTGAACTCACTTGTCTAATTTTGGATCATATTGATTATATTTTTCCCTTTTAAGCTGCTTGTAATGGGATAATATGGCTGATTATCACAACCATATTTTGAGCTTCTGGAGGTAGGCAAATACTATGATGATATTGGCTAAACAATTACCTAGCTAATGAAAAAAAGAGTTTTTGAATTTGAGTGTCCTGGTATCAGACATCTGAAAGGAAGGAGGGTGGTGGGCATATCTCCCCCTTTCCCCAAAAAACTGCTGCTTAGCAGTTTGCAGAAAACATGACGTTGAAACTTATCTGAAGCTGGGTACTCAAAATCAGTTACTTCAAAAATCTTGGCAGCTTTTCTTCTGTATTTGGTATGGTTCCAGCCATGCCAAGGGCTGCTTTGTGTACAATTTTAATTTATTTTTAAGCTGAATTTTGGTTAGTAAATACTGTTTTAGAAGCATCAAAATGTTTTTCCTCCCTATCATGTAGGCCTCTCTCTTGTCAACATATTACTTTTGTTCATACATTTCAAAAACAAAAATACAGCTCGTTTCCATTTCTGCCTCTGTCAGCATTGCTCATATGATAAAGAATGAGTTCAGTAATGCTGTTCAGAACATTTCACAAAACGTGGCAGCTCTTTTTCTTGTATTAGTTGGTGGTGTTCCAAAATCTAATTGAACAAGGACACTGTAGCTCAATATCACCAATCCTGGCATGCTGTTATCACTTTTTAGTTGGGATTCTTTTTGCTAATAGTGTAGTTTAGAGAAGTGAGGGAGTGAGTCTGTGTGCACTTAAGAGAGATGCTATTCCTAATTGCCAGAGTATTGACACTTTTTAGTCCTGAGTTGTGAATTTTTTTGGTGGGCAATAGATGGTAAGAAACTATTTTTATTCACTCTTTTCAGGGAAACAGATGTTTCTTGGCAGGGAGCATTCTTTTCTCCATTAAAAAGTCAGCTACACTGTCTTTGGCTTCACTGACATTACTTTTTTTTTTTTTTTTTTGCCTTTGCTACTGAAAGATAACTTTGGCTATGTATCAAAGGATAAAGTGGAAAAACTTCAATATTTTTGGAGTGGACAATGGGAGGGAAAAAAAGGAGAGAGGGCTGGAAGGGACCTTGAGAGAACATCTAGTTTAATCCATGGCTCAAGGCATCAACATCGCTGTCTAAACCTTTCCAGATAAGTGGTTGTCTAACTTGTTCCCAACTTAGAGTTAGAGAGAAGTAGGGTTGGAAGGGACTTCCAGAGGTCATCTAGTCTGACTCTCTACCCAGATCATCCCACCATGGGGGCATGGGTTGGGAGTCACTTTAGCAGAGCTTAACTCTGAGCACGTTTTGCTTCCCACCAGGGCTTCAGCTCCAACCACCATTCCCTTGTATGGCATTGCCACTGTTGCTTCTCCCTGCTGCTCACCTGCCCATTGCAGAAAATGCCAGAGAAGCCCCTGGCTCTGCAGGCCAAATGAAATGATTCTATGGGATTGATTCATCCTGCAGGCTGTAGGCTGTTGACCACTGATCTTTAACCATCCTCTTACAATCACCCTTCACATCTTTGAAATCTTTTATCAGATTCTCTTTCAGTCTTCTCTTCTCCAGGCTAAGTAATCTCAACTCTCCCATTATCAGACTCAGAGGAGGGTTGAAGTTGCACAGAACATGGGTGGGATGCTCTGTAGATCTGAAGCATTACTGGTACTTGCTTTGACCTGCTGAAACTGAACTGAGGTAAACTGTCAGCACCTCTGGAGTGATAGACTCCTAGTGTGCATCAACTAATAATGTTCACACTGCCAGATTTGAGCTGTTTCAAAACATCACTACAACTGGAAGGTTAGTTTATTATCCTGTAAAATAACCTCATTTAAAAACTTTATGTTCTTTGTCAAGTAAACTTAATTGCACCAAACAGAAAGAGAGATCAAAACACTAAAACATACAAGCTATAGCATTGGCAACGCATAGGGGGTGCGCGCGGGTGCACGTGCACGCCCTGAGATTGGCTACCACCAATGCTGCCAGCGGCACCTGCAGGCGGTGGCCACTCGCCAGCCTCCCCCCTCGCTGCCAACACTGCTGGTGGCACCCCCCCCCCCTTCGCTGACACTGCTGATGGGG